CAAGTCTAGTTATTGAGTCTTTCTGTATAATAAGTCTCAGTACAGCCCGGAGTTGGGAAGTTGGCGGTGTTTCACCCCCATGCCTCGGAGAACACGTAAAAAGCCGTCGGTCCTGCACCTTAACTCTCACTGGTCGTGTCGAGCAGTCGTCCCACCGGAGTATGAGAGTGACAGGAATAGAGAGTGCACTTGTGTCTGCGCGTACACTTGTGCACTATAATATCTCCTGCGCAGTTGGCTAGTCTCAATGAGATTGGCCGCCGTGGCCGGAATCGGCCAGAAGAACATCATCATCATCATCATCATCATAAAATTATAACTAAGTCGAATCTGTACATTAAATATTTTTTGGAAAATCTAATTGAAATAGACATTATTATCGATACAGAGTCCAAATGTATAGTTTTTAGAACTCATGCCTGTCTATCTGTCTGTTACCGCATCACGAAACCGCTGGACAGATTTTGATGAAATTTGGTATGATGATAGCTACTATACTTTTTACCGCGGAAAAATATCTCAATTTTAAGAAAAAATACAAAATATGCATTGTAAGAGTATACTAATATGTAAAACCTAAGAATTTAGTTTTTGGTCATCTGAATTTGGGCGGAACCCGGGCAATGCAAGTAAATACTAATATTATAAAATTGTTTGTTTGTTTCAATGCGCTAGTCTCTAAAAATACTAGTTAACTTTTTAAACGTCTTTTTGTATTTTATGGCCTACTAACGGAAAAATACAGATAATAGATACAAATCTAATACCACGGGAACTGAACATTTTTCCGGGATAAAAAACTATAATCTATCTTGTGCTAAATTTTATCCAGATCAGTTCTGCCGTTCCGGCGTGAGTAACAAACAAACATCCATCTAAACTTTCACATTTATAATATTAGTAAGATTTATTGGCTATATGCTATATCTGACACTACGCTACGAATCTTAAGAGATTTCTAATAATGTAAATTTCTAATAATACATCTATGCGTTATAATCTCATTCCTTCGACTGTTTGTCGTTTAAAATCGATAACGTGCACAAATGACGTAAGCTGTTTCATGTCACATTATTACTCTATTCACCATAGATATATTTACAGATAATATAAATAAAACTATATCTCGTATAATTAATTTCATCAATAAAACTTCTCTTCCTCCAACATATCATACTAAAATATCAAGTATACTATCAGAAATAAAATCTTAATAGTAAAAGATCTACATGGTATTTGCCAATGCCATTAGCTTATTTATGTTTTCCTGCACATTCGCCAACCAATGACCGCTAATGGAATGGACGAAAAATGACGACCCATCAAGAGTAAGGAGGCAGACAAGCGTAACAAAGTGCCTGCTTTTCACTATCCCAGTGATGGATTCGACGGCATTCGGGAGATTTTTAGTTGATATGTGCTGAATAGTGGGCTTTTAAGGCTAATAAATTTTTTATTGAAGCGTAATTTCTAAATAAAGATGCTCAGTGTGTCTATGTCGTGTATGTATTGAATACTTATTTAGATTTACGCGATTATTTGAAATTTTAAATAAAACTATCTTTTCGGGTTTTTGCGGATTTATTTTGGTTTCTTGTTCTCGACGTTTCGAATGCTTTATAGAAAAAGTCTAGGTTTTATTTAAAAAGTCTTTATTTACTTAACATTTTATCTATACTTAATATTATAAAGAGGTAAAGTTTGTGAGATTGTGAGTTTGTGACGTTGTAGGGGGTAATCTCTGGATCTACTGAACAGTTTTGGATTAAATTTAGTAAGAAGATAGTTTGAGACCCTGGAAAGGACATAGAATACTTTTTATCCCGGAAATCATCCCTTAAGAGGGTGAAAAGGGGGATGAAAGTTTGTGTTGGGAAGCAAGCTAGGGACGACCCCGAGCGAGGCGAGGGTGAGTCGCTAGTCCATAATAATATTACGTCCTTATACTGATTATGAATAAAATGCATGTTTTCATTTCGATCTTTTTACAATGAATTTATGCATGGTAACCTTGTCGTCCTATATATATTAATGTATGTATGTAACAAGAAAATTGGTAAATTAATGTATATGTGTATGTAAATGTATAGTGTCAAATTATTTTTGGTAATTATAAATGTGAACCATACAAAATACACTCGAAAATAATCACTGTCAGCAGCTATTAATCTGATAAAAATAAAAAACTTTTAGACAAAAGCAAAATATTTTGCCCCGTCGTCATAAATTCTGCGTAAACACTTTACAACTTCTTGTGAATAAAGAAAATACCTGAGCATGATGTTTTTCATACAAAGTGTATTAAAAATTCGAAGCTTCATTTTGAGCAATCGTATTTAGGCAGATTATGTTTCACGTACAGATGCCGTCTGCCCTTCAGCCAAATAGGTCACACAGTTAAAGTCATTTATTTATATAGAACTTTGAAGTTTTAATGAATTTTATAGAATGCCTTATAGTAAGATTTTGAAATGAAGGAGGGACGAGTTGTATAGAAGTTCATTATCCAACATACATTACGTTAGGTGGCGATTCCTAAAGCCGCGCTTGGTCTGAACCATATGGGTGCTAACAGCTATATAGTCAATACACGCATTCTCCCTACACCGTCGTATTTGCCCCAGTACATTACGACGGTCATTACGGTCAGTTTGTAGTTATTTGGTAGTATGGAATAACATAACATTTAATCACAATACTGTTATTAGTTAGAGAGTTTGTATGCGAATATATTTGTTACTCCATCACACTAAAATGGCTGCACAGATTTTGATGAAATTGAGAGCAGGCAGACTATGACAAACAGTACTATTAAATATTCATTCATGATCATTTAATTCTTACGGGAAAACACGGTATAATACAATTCAAAAAAAAATTATGATGAGAATTACTTGAAACTTGGTATTAGTGCTCTTCAACACAAATTATTGAAATATGTGTTTTAGCATTTTCTGAAATTCTTCCTATAAAGGGGTAAAATAGGGGATGAAAGTTTGTATGAACACTACCTTTTTATATATTTTTCGCAGATTCTGCTAGTAACGTTATAAATACAAAAGATACCTAGAGACGCACCCACGCACGCAGAAAAGTATTATTTTAATTATAATGTTAAATAATATAAAATTTAAATGAAAAACTTAAAAAGAAACTCTTTATAAAACAAATGCTTACAATGTTTTTTACATCAACTGTGACCTTATAACAATATTCACAATAAGTTCAAAATGAATCATCCCAATATTATTAAAAATAAGGTTTTATTTCTTTCATTTAGACTAGAACTAAAAAAGTAAAATCATCTTATAAGTCGATTTAAACCCCTTTACTAATAATAACTGGTAATTACCTGGAGTAAATAAATTCAAAAGCTCCTTTTACAGTCCGACAGTAAAATATTAAGATTAATATAGTACCTAACAATTGAATTTTTAAACAATTGAATTTCTAAATCTAAAGAAGTATACAAAACACACGGTCTATAAAAACAAAGCATCAGTATTTAAACTCGTAGTTCATCAATTAGAGCTGTGGTTATTTACACAATGAAGAGTCATTTATGTGTCAGGGATTTTGTTTTATTTTTTCTTTTAAATTTTCATAAACAAAATATTTGCTGCATTTATTTTTAAATGAACTGCCGAATTCCAAAATAAAAGTTATAATAAATTTTCCAAAGTTTTACTTTATTATTCTGTTTTATTATGATGGAATTTATTACGAGCGCACCTTTCGACAAATTGCATATTTACCCAACAAATAATGAACGGCATAGGTAAATAATGCATTAATTATTTTCCATTTAATTTTAAATACTAATTATATCGTATTATCGTGATTTGTTTATTTGAACAATGAGTTATACAATGTAGTAGCATATAAAACTGATGTCATCATTTAATGACTTTTCAATAAAAAATGTATATGCGATATTTAATGTTTTTTTTTTATATAAAATTAAAATAAAAATGTACATCTTTACATAAATGACCAAGTGTGTAAAAAAGTATCTTTCCATGGTAACGTAAAGGAGTAGAGGTAGGCCACAAACTACATGTATGTCGATTATCCAAAGGGACATGAAGAAGCTGGGTCTATATGATGGTGTTGCTTGTCAACGGAATGAATGGTGCTTCAAGATTAAGAAAGCCGATCCCGCGTAACGGGAAAGGGCAAGGTCAAAAAAGAAGTTCTTTACACACGTAATAATGCTTAAGATACTGTAACAAACATTTTATTTAACAAACGGGTACAGTTCTTCTTGTTCTTCTCCCTGCCCATTTCCCAATCACTTGGGGTCGGCGCAGTACATCTTCTGTACTGCTGATAGGATTTGGCAAAAGTTTTACGACCGGCCGCCTCTCCTTGTCAGAATGGTGTCGCGGAAGTCTTCTAATTATTATGTACTTTCGATTTTGTTGCCTTTTAAACATTTTTATACTATTATTTAAATTTTGAATGTTATTTTCGGATATATTTTAAAATAAATTTTGATTGCACCATAAAATTTGTTTTGACGTTGTCAAATTTTTTCTTCTAAAAACGGGTACAGTTAGTATTAAGATTTTCGTGTGAATCACTAGAAAGCCTTGAGATACAGGCTCTTGGTATCGAAATTTATATTTATATTAAATAAATATAACGTTAAGGTTGACTGTTTATTTTTGTTATTTTTGCAAAGCTAAGTTCTTATGTGTCTACCGCCCGTACCTTCCACGTAGGCAGCGCGCCATACAAAGTGGGCACTTAAATAAATGGGAGGCATCTATCAACGCGAAATATTTCGCTGCAAATAGGTAATTTCTAGCGATCTATCAAACGCAAATGGGCTGTTGAAGTTCAGGATATCACGTTCGGTTACTTTTATCTATATAATGTTTAACATAGATAAAAGTAACACGCACGTTTTGTGTAATTTATTACCTTAAAACGTTTCACTTTTACAACAAAAAATCTTTAAATTTAGTATAAACTTATGTAAATATTTTTATTCTCAGATTGTACAACGTCTTCATCGTCAAGTATCAGTGGCATCACTACTGTGTCGGTAGCAGTCACAGGGCTTGATACACGGCCGCTAGCCAAGAAAGTACGTCCGAAACCCGCTTCGCCCAACCGACAAGGACCCCAGCAATGCCAAGTACGTATTACATTTCAAGCATCGAAACGAATACATAAAATAATATTTTCGAAAAGCGTACATTCTTTCATTTGATTTAAAATCCAGTTAAAACGTAACTGTAGTATGTACAGTAGCTTTTATTCGAGCACGGCTGAAAAAAAGTAAAACTTGGAACCTCCTTGTCTTAAAATACTCAAGTTTTACTTATAAACTCAATGATATATTTATAAAATACTTTAAATTATATCTACAGACAATTTATTAAAAAACAAGATAAACTGCTTTATATCTTACAGAAATAAAGCTCAATTAAAAATTGAGTGAGTAAATCGTACTGACTCAATGATAACTGCAAAATGTATTATTTGTTGTGTAATCTCGGTATCTCTAAAAAAAGAGACGTTCTTTATCAGTATAAGAAATCTGGTTATGTTTTTTGAAGTGAAACTTCTTTAGAATCGTGGTGATTTGAAACTCGATGAAACGGAAATGCAACACTAAAAAGAGACAAATACATAAATATACCTATAGAATTAAGCCGGCGAGAGAATAAGATAGAATACATTGCCATGTTGCCATAGTAGCCGTTGTTATTGTCTGACAAATATATAATTTTAAGTTTCACTTCTACCATGCGTGAATTAACACACACGCACTTTTTTTTAATTATTAAATTTATAAGGTAACTTTTACGTTATACTCGTATGAGACTCATCTTAACTTACCCATAAAATACGCTGGCTCTAGCTCAAACAAGTTTTGCGATGGTGCCAAGTAGGTTCCATCTGATATAATGTCGTTACAAGTGACACGTGCCAAACGTCTTGTCAAAAGACCTTTTTCCTGATATACAAGCTGGTTTAACTGAAGTTTCTTGTAATACTTCAAAAGTACGTATATATAATATGTATTAAAATTATTTCTTCAATTTTCATCATTTAATGTTCCACTATATTTCTTAAAAACTGTTAAATCGCTTTCATTATTACAAATATAATGTTTTATTTTAAAAGATTTTAATTTAAGATAATAGATGGCGCTAGTAGTAAATAAATTCACGCTATCGTTTGATTCATTTAAATTATATAGAAGGCAAATTATTATACATATTTTTTTAACCCATCAATCAAGCGTTAATCTGGAAACCTTTGGTTTTATTGTGACCTAGTGTTAGTAGCCTTAACAACAACTAATTGAGTATTGATAACCCTTAAATATTTTTTTTAGCAAAAACCCCAGAAAAATCTTATTGCATTTTGTAGCCTAATAAATTATTCATAAAAATACGCAAGCAGAATCGCGGGCAAAGACTAATTATAAATATATAATGTAAGATGAAGATGAAAGAATGAAAAAAAAATAATAATTAAATTTAGAGATATAGTAATTAATAGTAAGCTCTATAAAGTAAACTCTGCTTAATGAAAAATGACTTTCCATTATAATAGAAGCTAAGAGCATAAGTTTTTGCTATCATTTTGCTAAAATATTAATTAAAATTAACAGTTAGTAACAGTGAGTATTCCTATCTATACCACAAATAAAACAATGTAAAAACCAGAAACTGACTTTCACGTATTTTTAATCAATTAACATATTATTATGAACATTTTACCTATGCTATGATAACCATAGAACGGTATTATCCACAAAGAAATAACGAAAATAAATCAGCAGATATCTACATTTTCATCCCTTTGAATCGAGACGGGAAACTGTGTTTATAGGTCAACCAATCAAAAGAAAGGGCCAGGAGCTAAGAGATGCATCATCAAAGTTTTTTAAATATTTTATACAAAGTATTTTCTATTATTATTTCGTGTTAGCAACAGTTACGTGGGTTTTCTTATTAAAATAAAACATTTTATCAAGAGAATTGCTCTTTCGATAGATATAATTGTAGCAGAAATGTATTGTGTCTCAGCTCGTTATATTCTATCCCCAATAGATATATTTGCACTTACGTTTGTATTATTATTAAGGCTTCATTCCTTTTTAAGAAATAAAGCAAGTCTGTATTGTTGTTTTGTAAAAAAATGTACACCAACTTCAAAGTTACTTATATTTCGTATACTGACTCCTCTAACCTAAGGTTACCTGTAAGAGATCGCTTCTAGAGATAAGTCAGCCTGCTGTGCAGCTCTTTTTTAATGTATATTTCTCTTTCTTATGTATTTGTTGTATAGTATGTAACTATCTTAAAATGTAGTTATTCCAACCTTTTGGAATATATTGTTAAAATTATGAAAATCGATTAAAAGTTCACGAAGATATTGTGCAACAAACTACAAACAAATCGAGATCAAGCCGTTTCAATTCTTGTATTGTTTCAAAGTTTGTGAACAACCATAAAAAATATACGCGTCGAACATAATACAATCTATTTTTTTGATGTCGGCCATAAAGTAGTTAAAATGATATTTCATTATCTTAAATCATGTCAAAAATCTCGGTCAATCTCAATGGTTGGGTCAAAATCATATTAAAATTATATATTTTCTAGGAAATATGTAATTAAAAGAAAACAACGTCGGTTATTTTAACAAATTAGCCTTTTATAGCCTTTTCTCTTGCTAAAATAAATGAATAAAAGCCTTGTAAATACTTACTCATATTATTTGATAGTTGATCTTAGATAGATCTTTTTTTATTTACAACAAAAGAGTATAAAATTTATTACTTATTTAATTGACAACAAAAGAATATAAAATTAAAAAATATATATTTTAATATAAATTTAAATATTAATCACCTTATTAACTAAACAAGACATACCGTATTCAAAATCACTTAAAGGTAGTAAACTCACTGGAAAGAGCTTTAAGCTTTTAATTTAATGGAAAATCGATTCATATTTAGCCAAATTATAAAAAAATACACCCAACTAAACATGTAACCGAGTTGAATAGTCTTCTTTCTTGAAATCAGCCAAAAATTAGTATTTTAAATATAATTTTCGATTTTATGTCGTACAATCAAGATAAAACAAATAGAAACCGGGAACCCACTCATTTATAATTATCAAGGCAGACTCCCAGATATAACGCAAGTTTACTGAATTATATAAATACGAAACATTGAATATCGCTTTTGTCTCCGCCTCCAGTGTCAATTCCTACTTTCATAATTCCATCATTCAACCTCGCAAAATAACTTACAAAGGCTTTATAATATAATCAGATACCGAGTTGTTTTAATGTCGGAATGAGATTTGAACTGATACTACTAATTGGCCAGGCTAATAGCCTTGATGGGCCTTGCCAATTAAAGCTTATTGATGTCGCCGTGGATCTCCGACCCTCGTCTCGCTTTAACCCCATCTCGCTTTCCTAATAATTAATCAAGCAATTACGAACCGAACGGTCCGAATAATCTTTAAATAAAACTATAAGAATGTATATAATCTTTAATACCCTAATATTGACAGAAATTCTCCGTATCCATTGGATCGAGATATATTTTATTTATACGTAAAAAAAATTATAAGCCGACTTTAAAAAAGGAAGAGGTTCAAACTGACTCGATTCGGCCTTAAACCAAAACATTATTTACAAACTATTCAACGTAAAAATAATACATAATATTAGGGATATACTTAGATAGTAAAGCTACAGGATGTGACCATTCAGCAACCAAGTTTGATCGCTGAATATTTCCTAAAAACTAGAATCTTCAAATATAAGCCAATATATAATATTGCTAAACTCTTCCGAGAGCCTTTATTTTCACCAACGCTTTAAAATTCGTTCAAAAATTAGCTGCACCAGCACTGTAGCTTGTGAACTATTCAACTAATTGAAAAATGTTTTAGACAAAAGTTACAGGAAATTTCAAGCTTAAAATTCTTGTACTAATAATACGAGCAGAATAGATAAGTAGTAACACGAGATTCCATGGCCACCTTCATTCCTTGGCTTCATTATTTGACTGTGGACATCAACTCAAGTCAAAGTACTTATCATGTCAAATCCAACAATGGTACTATGCTAATGATTTACTAAAAGAGTTGCCATGGCTGGTTCCAGCTTCATTCCTAGATGCTAGACGAAGTTTGAGAATGCAGTACTTTTCTCAACAAATCTATCGAGTCCAAACATGACGACAACAATCCATCATCAGACCTTGGATGTGGTGTTAGGATTGGATAAGCACTATAGACTTAGGAGTCTATAGTGCTTATCCAATCAATCCAAGGTCTGGAGTGGAAGTGGAGTTGTGTAGTTAACGACTCTCTATACTTATCTTATTTCCTTCTTTCTCCTAGATGCCTTCCGGATTCATTTTCCGATCAGATCCATTGATCCATGATATACCACATAGCCAATAAAAGTTGAGCGAGTTATTTTCAATGAATTACAATTTTTTAACCAAAAAATCCGACATATTAAAAAAACAATAATAATATAATGTAATGACATAAAAGTCGAAATATTTCCCATTCAATCAGCCTGTGACAGAGCATATTCAACAATTATTCACTGCCATGTCAATACAAACTAAATCGAATTTGTTGATATCTTCATTTTATCCGGCCAAATTATGACGGATTCTTATTTCATTTAACAGTCCGTGAGTAGGGCGCTGAAAACCCGAACGCGTCCAGAATGTCTAATGCCGTTCAACTTGTTATAGGCGTGTATATATAACTTGGGTAGCCCGCACATGAAATCACTTTACATTTGGATGTTTTCTAATCTTTTCTATGGCATTTCGAATATAATACTCATCGTGTAACATGAAAATTGTTTTAAAATATAAATGTATTATACTGTAAAAGGATAACTTTGCCACTTAGGGACTTACAAATACCAGTTTGGGTTGTACCCAATTCATATTACAAATAAATTCTATGTAAGAGTACCTAATTAATTTTTCCCCGCGGTTCTTCTTGTGTAATTTTCATTTCGTTCTTCTTGTATATATAAAAGTAGCTGTGTCTTAATCAAGGCTTATCTTGTGAATCAAGATTTATCACTATCATCTTTGTGAATCTCTATTCAGAATATCACTAAAATCTG